GTTTTTGTCATAATTGTTGTTTTTTTTGTTTCTATTCATATGAAATTGGGCAATGTTTTGCTCTGTACTAGTACTTTTTTTTTTAGCGGAATTTGTTTCCATCTTTTTTTTTTGTAGTTTGTTGTGTGCGTTTTTTTTTTCTTGGTGATATTACACTTTTTTGTTTGTTAGCTTTTTTACCCTCTGATGCTGCGTCTCTTTGTTTTCCCTATATTTTCTTGTTCTTCTTTGAGCGCTATTTCGTTCTCAGTTGGTTTTCCGTCATCGTTCTGCGTACGTGAGGGAGTGTCGCATCTGTGTGTGTTCCCCGCTTCTCCCGAGCCGGCTGCTGCGCTTTCGTTCTTCACGAGTGTTTGTGGGGTGGTAAGTTGTTGGGCGGCGTCTCTCATCCTTGCCTCTTTTTGCATCTGGCTTTTGTGTCTCCTCCTTTGCGTGCAGGAAGTGCTGCGTTTAAGGTACTCTCTGCCCCGCGTCCCCTCCGCCCCTTTCCACTTCTTCTCACCGCGTCTTTCCTGAGGGCGGGAGCAGCCGACGTCATGTCCGCGCAGCGGTGTTCTGGCGACATTGTGACGGTGGGGTCCCGCGTCTTCTTTTGTCCGCGGGACGAGCAGCTACCGTTTTTGGAATGGGCACAGGAGGAACAACGGTTTGTTGTTCTGCGACGGGATGCGTGTGACATGGCGCCACTTCTCGCTTCGGAGCAAACTGCTGCTGCGGGCTTGGAGTGCGGCACGGTGAAAGTTCCATGCTGCGCCTTGTACGGTGTTCTACCCCTCAGGAGCACATCTATCCTGTTGTATGTTGCACAACAGGAACGCGTGGCGACGCTGCCTTTGTCTGAAACACATGAGGTGTTCGCTGTCAAACGATTTGCCTGGATGCGCCTGCCCTCGCCACGGATGGGGTCACCCGTTCAAGACACCTTGAAAGAGGATGATGGGGAACATCAGAATGCATTTTCTCCTTCTTCTGAGGGGCTCTCGGAGGACATCGTTGCTAAATATTGTGTTTTGATTGATTTGTTCTGTACCAAGTCACAACAGCATTCAGGAGGTTCGTATTTTTTTTATTCTCCGACAGTTAATTTGGCGTTGGATCCAAGTGAGTTGGTTGAGGACCCGACGGCACATCACTTGGGGGTCTCTTCCGCGGAGAATAACTCTGATTACGAGAGGGGTTCCCTTTCTAGAGAGAACCACGTTAGTTATCACTCGCAGCACGCTTTTCAATGGAATGCCCCATTAATTCACGCATTCGCGTCGTTGCATTTGCCTGCTGGAACTGTCTTCTCTTACGTGCCGGTGTTTATTAGGGGTGTTGTTGCCATGCCCCCTGCACCCGCGGACGGCGTCCAGTTGCTGCTCATCAACCGCCTCAGCTACCGTTGGGCCGGTACACGCTACAACCGGCGTGGGTTGGACTTGGCGGGCACTGGCATCAGTGCCAATTTCTCCATATCGACTCTGTGGGTGTTTTCCGCAGAAAGACAAAAGCAAGGCAATGATGCGACAACCGCATTTTTTAATGGGGAGAGAAGAATGGCATCCTACCAGGTTGTTCGAGGGTCCATCCCACTTTATTGGAGCCAACGAGCAAATTTGGCCCTCATGCCGGAGATCAACATTGCATCGCCTGGTCATGCGGTATTTGAACTGAGTTCACATCTAAAACTGTTAAGTAGACTTATTCCGGGCACCTCCACGCTTCACTGTCTTGACACGACATCCCTTGCTGAAGTGGAGCGTCCTCTTTCAGAGGCCTTTGCTTTCGCAGTGACCAAGTTTCGTGAGTCGGATGTCAGAAGCGACATCTCCTTTGATGTTCACTACACCAAGTATGATTTAAAGGGTAGACTGAAAAGTAAGCTGTCGTACGACGAGATCCTTAAAGGTGTAAATGAACTTCTCAATGGTGGTATGGAGGGGGAGGCAAAACGTGTCGACTTCTCGCAGTGGTGCGGTCGGCCCTTGGGTAAGGAAGATACTCATTCGGATGTGGAGGCAAATCACACCTCTTCCCTAGTCTGGAGGCAAACGCATCAACAAGAGCACTATGTTCGTGTGAATTGTCTTGACTGTTTAGACCGGACCAATCTCGTCCAGTCCATGCTTGCGGTTGATGTGCTTCCGCGGATGATTCGCTACGTGCGTGGTGAGAAACATATAATGAATAATAATCATGGTAGTGGTGCTAACGCGACAGAGGATTCTGAGACGGAAGAGGAAACATATGAAGAATCCATTAAACTATGCAAGAAACTCTGGGCTCAACAGGGCATAGCACTTTCTCAATTGTATGCTGGGAGTGAACCTCACTTTCTTCACTTACTTCTCAAGGGCACCTTGGGACGGTTTTTTCTGCAACAGACAGTCCTTATTTCATCGCGCCGTTGGCTTCAACAGAACTTTTACGATGGTGACAAGCAGGACATCATTTCCGTACTCACCCGTCAACATGATCCGGCTCTCACACAATCTGAATTTGAGAGACGCTTTTTACGACCCTTCTCATTTCTGAATAAAATGGTGGCGTTGGGTCTCATCGTCGCAGTATTTGCTCTTGCGGTGAACCTGACCGTTACCGTTCTCTTAACGCGGGATCTCATGTCAAAAGGGCCTTTGGTATATTCACTCGTTTGGGCGATGTACATCGTTGTTTTGATTTTCTTTATTATGCGTGATGGGGCTAGCTACACAAACGGCCCACTGTTTAGGTGAGTTGCCGTCCTGTGTTTGAGGCAGGGGACGTTGCCTCCCTGCTTTTCTGCGTCGGTGGCGAGTGGCGAGCGCGTTGAGTGGTAGGGAGTAACTGTGACGGAGTCGGTTGCTGCCTGCGACGTGAGCGGTCACGGTTTTTCGGTGGCGTCACCTGCCGCCACCTGCCGCCACCGCACACTCGTGAGTGAAGAAGGCGATGGAGGAGCACTAGGAAGGGTAAAATGGGAGCACCAGTGATCCTGGGGCCGCATTTTTTTTATGCGTTTTTAATTTTTTTTTCGGTGGGTGTGTTTCTTTCTTTCCACGCCCCTGTCTACTTTGTAGTGTTTCCTCTAAAGAATTTTCATGATCGTTATCCTCTCCTTCAGGTGTTGTAGGCGCGCACTAAGTAGATATATTGCAATCCCCCCCCCCCTACTCCCTCTCCCTCCTCCGCCTCGTCTTCTTCGTGTGGGAGTGGGGCTTCTTAGAGTGGACTACCTGTAAACACGGGGGAGTGCATGCGCGGTTTTTTTTCTTGTCCCCGCTTCCCTGGCTTGGCTTGCATCTCTTTGTGTTTGTGTGCTAGGGCAGGTAGTGAGGGAGGAATATGCTTCGCCGAGGACCCCGGCTCGCATGCCTGAGCTGGGAGGTGAAGCGTAACTTTGGCTGGCTTTTATTCTTTATCGTCATGTTGTACGTCATCTCATTTGTGGTCGTCTGGCTCTTATCCCCACTGGTGCAGGAGTCATGGACGGCGTCGGGAGGGTCGCCCGTCTCCGTCCCCGTCCCCGTGACGCTTCGCGAGCGCTGCTCCGTCAAAATGTACCGCCACTTCCCGGTTTCATTGTCGTTCACCGCCTCGTTGGAGGCCTCAATGAAAGTGCTCGGTCGCCAAGGATGCGCCAGCGTGCGAGCACTCCTGCAGGACGCCGGTGTGACTCGCTGTCCCCAGGGCTTTGCCCTTCAGTGCGTTGCGGGTTACGCTTGCAGCATACTTGATGACGCAACGATGAACATGAAGGCGTTGAAAGATATCTGGGGAGTTCGCTACACGAAGGCCAAAAGAGATGAGAAGCACCCGTGGCTAATAATTGTCAATCACAGAGGAATATCTCCGTCGAATCTGGTGCATCAAGGCAATGCGGTGCTGTCGGCCCTCGGTCTTGCGCATTTGGTGGCTCGTATTGAACGCTATATCCGTGCATGTCGCGTACCTTCTGCCGAGGCGATACTGGCCGCATGTGCGCTGGAAAATGCAAAAGGCGCAAGAAAACAGGCCAAACGATTTGTTCTAGTGGAGCTTGCGACTGGGAATGCCAACCTTCTTTTTAGCCTCTGTCCACCGGATCCTTTGCGTCGATTACGCTGCTACGGTGTAGAGCCGGTTCCTGCTTTATCCGCGGATGCAATGTCGTATCAAGAGCATATACGTATCGTAAATAGTGGGGTTTCCCCGCTTAGAGATGGATCGGCAACCCACGTGTTGCTTCATGGAATTCTGCACCAGCTTCCTGTTAACGACTCCTGCGCGTTGATTCGTGAGGGCTTGCGTCTTTTAGGGCCAAACGGGGTCCTGCTCGTGGTGATGTTGTTTACTGGCACCTCCGCGGCGTGGCCAACGGGCCATCATCCCTTCTTCTTTAAAAACACTGCGGTGGAGACGGACCCTCTAAATGTGTCACATGGCTCGACTGTTTTACGTTACTGCAGTTCTATTACGGGTGAGGATTACGACCAGCTTGTAGAAAAGGTGGAGTTCCTGTGGAACGCGCCAGAGTTTGTTTTTTACACCCCGGAGTTTAAGCGAACAGGCGTGTACGCGGTGCGTCTAACGCGGTCCGCAAAGATGATGTCGCCTTTGCCAGGCGAGGAGCGAAGGACCGCGACGCCAGAGGAAGAGGAGCCTGCTCTATACAAGACCCTGTGCACGAACCCAAATAATTTGGATCACATGAGGGACGCACAGGCACTGTGGGGAAAACGTGTCCTTGAGATGCATCACGCCAGCGTACGACGAAAGCTTAGGAAGAAGCATTACGTATGGTCAAAGAAATGAGGCTAGTGGACGCGTCATCTTTTTTTTTTCGTCACATATTTTTTTCCCGTCGGTTCTCCTGCACATGAGTCTTGCGAAGAGGAGGAGGAGGACCATAAGATGCAGAGCGACATGTTAGCCAAAGAATGCCGATGCCCACATTTTGCTGACGCTTGCCGCTCTGTTCCCTCTATGTAACTGGTTGGCGCTGGACAGTTTTTGTTTTTGCTTTCGTTTTCAATCTTTCTAGGTGCTAATACATTGTGATCTCCACACCTCCCTGCGGAGTTGTGACCGGAGGACCCCCGCTCATTTTCAACGCGTATCTCTACAAAACTGCAGGTTGCACTTTGGCGTAACCCCTCTCTTGTACATTTCATATATACATGTGTGTGTGTGTGTGTGTGTGAGTATTCCTGCGAAGGAGGGGTCCAGGCACGCGCGGCGGGTTTCTCCTTTTTCTTCCGTCGTGCTACCTCCGAGTTGTGGCGGCTCACCACGGCGAGAGAGGTGGTCCATTTATTATTGTTTTTTTTTTGCTGTTATTTTGTTGAACTCCATCACTCCTCCTTACATGTCGGGTCACTTAGGCTTTTTGCTCCCGCACTTCTCTTTTTTTACTGGGCAGCAAAGGGATACAGCGAAACCTAAGGCGCCTTACTGGGTGCTCTATACACAACTAGAGGGAGCGGGAGCGAGAGCGAGAGCGGAGGATATAGAAGAGGATAAAGGCCCCTTTGCCATCGCTTCAATAAAGAAAGGAAAAAGAAAGCGCCCATTCGTCTTTTTGGAGGTGACCGTATATATTTTTTGCCCCTATACAAACACACGCACAAAAACACAAATTCAATCTCGCACTCAACAAGTCTCTTCACACCCGTTTCTCCCTCGCGTTCTCCCAAAACCCCTGAAAAAGTTGAAGTGAGTAAAGGGTTGTAGGCGGAGAAAAAGGAGGAGCTCTCATCGGCTGGTAATAGTACCATCATGTCTTGTTACACACAGTGCTGTTACGGGTCGATTCACAAGGGAGCCAATTCAATGGGTCTGCGAAGTGTGATGAAGCGGTTTTGGAGTCCCTTCTGCCGTGGCATTGTTGGGCCGGAACTCCATACGTACGGCTTCAGTCAAGTTTTTGACAGCATTCGGACCGGTGATAGCGACTTTACCTGTCAAGTCAACGGCAAAGTAGGTGACGCCAGACTTATTGAGGACTTCTTTATTATGATTCTCAGTGGTTTTGACTTTGTCGACGTTAAGGTGGCGACATCCTCCGTGAGCGATGCGGTGTGTAACCCATGCAATTTCAAAGGTTTCTACACGCTGGAGCACACCCGGCCCTTCTTGGGGTGGGCTCCTCCGGTCGTTGCGCCCACCCCAAGGATAGCGCCGCGTGACAAGAGGCCCGTTGTGCCCAATGCTGACTACGGCGAGCGCTCGGAGATGCGCGAAGACATCAAAGGAAAACAATTGCAGGCTTCTGCGCGGGATTCGAATGCGGAGCAAGAGAGGCGGCTGCTGAAGGTGCCATTTACGTCTCGAATCGAAGGGTCTGAGTGCGGCGTCTCGCACATGATCCTTCGTTCTGCCGTCCTCGATGTTATCATGGGCGACCCCAACTGCCCCGCCGCCTTGAAGCCTTGCCTTCAGAACAAGGAGGCGATGGAGGCGCTTGTGCGTCTCCGACGCGCGAGTGTGCGCCCCGAGATGATCACCGACAAGACACTCCTGGGCATCACCGACAAGAAGGAATCCTGGGCCTCTGCGTTGGGCATTCTCTAGTTAATGCAGTTGACGGGCGGCGAGGGGCAACTAGCAGGTGCAAAAATGAAAGAAAAAATGGATGCTGATAATGCAGACATTACACACAACAACACTCTTTTGTTTTTTCTTGTTGTTGTTGTTGTCTTGCTGTTCTGGCATCTGGAGTGAGATATTGTGGTGTGCTAAAGCGCTGGTGGAGAGTAATAGCTGGAATGACAATTTTGTTGACTATCTTCATTCTCTAAGCAGCGCCTTCTGTGCGGAGCTCATTAGACTTATTTCAGCTGTGTCACACAGACGAAGCATGGAATTAGGTAAGTGAGAAGGGGTAAGACAAAAACAAAGCAGTTTTGTTATGCCCCATTTCTGTATGTGGACAGTGGTGAAGGAGGAGGAGAAGCAGTTGAGCTACCTTATTTGAGTTTGCTTGCGCTATTTGTTATTGCTGTTGTTGTCGGGACGTCATCGGCAACGCTGCACTCTCCCATTTTCTTTTTTCTCTCTGTATGTGTGTGCGTGCTTTTTTTTTTCGGTCCACCTGTGTGCTGCCTGCCACTTGCACCGATGCTGGAGGTGTCCAAGGGATATTCAATGAACCCTTGCTCCAAGAGGCGAAAAAAAAAACAGCAACAACAAGAAAAACGGACGAGCTGCTGTTATTGCTTTAAATGGTATTTGTTTTTCTTCTGCTTTAGTTTGTTTTCTGGATTCGTTGATTTGTTTGCGATCGCATGCTTCTTGTTTCCAGACGCCCTTCCACACCGGATGCAAGTTGGTTGTGCTAACTCTCTCCACTCTATCCGTCTAGGTGTGCTTGCGTCCTTTTTTAATGTTGTCTTGTTTCTGTCGCCCAGTGTGCCACTGCGTTTCTCTCTCTCGCCTGGGGTGCCGCTAGCGGTTGGCTGCCGCGACGATGTTCGCGCTGCTGCCGCCCGTGCGCCTGGGAGGCAGTCCGCCGCGAAACTTGACGGCGAAGGCGGGCGCGAAAGGAAGTGAGGGCCACCCGAGAGGAGGAGGAGGAGGAGGAGAATAAAAAAAAAGGGAGGGAGAACGAGAGCGGGGAAGGGAAGTGCAAGCGGCGACCTGAGACAGCCGCCAGCAGACCATTTGACTGCCCTAGTTAACTGAGACAATGCTCAGAATAAAGTAAAAAAATAAAAACGGAGAAAAGAACTCCAACAGCTAGAAAAGAAGAATTGTGCAACAGAGTGCATTGCATATGCACACCCACACCCACACATATGTGCCTCTGTCGAAGTTTTCTCTTCGTGGATGTGTGCGTTTCCTTAGGATGTGTTTTTATGTGCGTATTTACGGTGCCTCTATATATATATATATTTGTTTGATCGCCTTTTCTCCAAACTTCATCCTTGCACCCAACTCTGTGCCCGCAGTTCGCAGCAGGTGCGCATGAAAGAAAAAGAGTTTTTTAAACACACTTTCGTGGCCCCAGTCAACCGGCTAATGTCGCGCGTCTGCTGGGCGGGTGAGGAAGAAGCGAGAGGCGGTTGAAGACGACGTGAGGGTTGGGGGTGGCATCCCTTCCTTTCTTCCCTCCGCCCACTCTGTTTCTGCCCCATGAACTGGGACAGACTCGGCGCAAAGGGAGAGAGAAAGTGGGAGCGGATTTTAAACCCTCGCTGTGTTTTTCATTCAGTAATTTACTTTTTGTTTTCCGCTTTGTTGCGTTGTTGTTGTTGTGGTTGTTGTTTTCTTTTTTGCCAAGTTTCCTTCGCCTGTTTTTGTTGTTGTTTTCTTTCACCTGGTCTCGTTGCTGCAATTCGCTTATTTATTTTTCCCACGGAGATGCAGGGACAAAACTGGATCAATAAATAACTGGCTTAAGTTGCGCAACACGCGCACACATGAAAAGACGTATGCACGCGATTACATTTATTTCCACTTTTGCGCGGCCGCATCCGTTTCTCTTTCATCCTCCTCCTTTCTCTCCGACTTTCTCCGACCCACTCCTCGTGTTTATAGTGAGTAGCATCTGTGGTGGGAAATGCGCGGTGTATCGGCTGCCGAAATCGCAAAGTTCCGTGAGCTTCAAAGTCATTGGTGGGACCCAAATGGCCCGCTCCGTACCTTGCATGCCTTCAACCCGCTTCGGGTGCAGTACATATCCAACACATGCAAGCACTTTGCAAAGCGGTCTGATTTTCTCGCCCCGTCTGGTATCACGCCTGGAATGCGTATACTTGACGTGGGCTGCGGCGGAGGCATTCTCTCCGAAAGTCTTGTGCGATTGGGTGGCAACGTACTTGGAATTGACATGTGTGAGGAGAGCATTGATGTGGCGCAGCAGCGTCGGGAGCAGGCCTTGCGTGAAGTGGCATCCTGCACCTCACAGGACGCTGCGGCCTCGCTTGCATATCGCCACGTTTCCCTCAACACGATTGTAGCTGAAGAGAAGCAGCAGTTTGATCTCGTAGTCGCCTCGGAGGTTATTGAACACGTTGATGACGCACCGGGCTTCTTGCAAGATCTTTGCAACGCGACAAACCCGGGCGGGATGCTTATTATATCTACGATGGACAAGTCTATTAGAACAGCTATTAGCCACGTTGCTGTTGCTGAGTATCTCACAGGAGCGGTGCGGCCAGGTACGCATGACTGGTCAAAGTTTGTTCCTCCCCAGGACCTTTCTAGGTGTGCACAACAGCATCACCTACTTCAAGTGGATCTTCAGTACATTGTGACGTGGCCAGACGTGTTAATGTCTTTGGCCACTCGGCAGCTGCAGTTTGGCTTCTCGCTTTCAAAGCGGTTTGATACGGGGCACTACTTTTGGTCCGGACTGAAGATGGCGACCCCCACGTCAAACCCCACTCCGTAATTTATGCCGGGACGATGAGCTGCTTGAGGCACGAAGAAAGGAATGAGAGGAAGAAAAGAAAAAAAAACATTAGTTGCATTTCTTTCCTGTCCCTCGTAGTCCTTTATTTTTTTCTACTAGAGAACGGCGGAGTTGAGAGAAGGGTGTTCGGCTGAAAGCGGTGGGAATGTGTGAACCCTTGCTTTTCGCTTGGAGTTCCGTATGGCGTGGCTGGTAGATGTTTCATTATTATTTTTTTTAAATTCTTTTTGCTTTTTGGTCTTGAGCATCCAGATTTTATTCATTCTTTTTTTTTGTGACACGCGGTGCATGTGGCCTTGGCGCAAGGTAGTGGGGGCAGACTTTAATGACCATCAAAGGGACAATCCGTTTCGAGGACCTCGGGGAGCCCGTGCAGCGGCTCCTGAGGTCGCTGCGGGCCGGCTACACGGACGAGGACATGGCGTTGCTCGAATACGTCTCCGTGAAGGACATGGCAAAGATTTACGGGGAGATGTCGTCGGACCGTCACGCCGAAGAAATTTGGGACGAGCTCCGCGCAGCCCTCAAGGCCCGGCAGGAGAAGGCGGCACGCCGTGAGCTGGAGCTACACAGTAGAGAACAGCAACTTGCGCTGGAGCGAGAGGCGGATGAGCGTGCGCGGCGCGAGCAGGAGGAGCTAGAAGAGGCGGAACGGCAGGCGGCGGAGGCGCGGCGTGAGCGACGGGAGGCACGTCGCAAACGTCGAGAGGAGCAAGCCGAGGAAGAGGCGGCTGCAGCTGCCGCTGCGGCAGAGGAGGCCGCAATGCGGGCGGCGGAGGAGGAGGAGCGCCAGCGGAAGGCAGAGAAGAGGCGGAAGCGGCGAGAGGCCCGTGAGCGGGAGTTGCAGGAGCAGCAGGAGGCTTTAGAGGCGGAGCGGCAAAAACATGCGGCGGGAAACTCAACCTCACAAAAAAAGGCCTGGGAGGAATATGTTGCCAGCCACCCTCTAGAGTTTGGCGGTTGCAATCAAAACATTGAGCAGAAGCACGTCGAGCACAAGCTGAAGGCCCCACCTGCGGCCACGAAGGAGCTTCTTAACCGAACGTATACACCCAAGTGCCCTAGGTGTGCCACAAAATTTATGGTGCCGCCAAAGGCGTGGGATTGTCCACTGTGTCTGCGACGGACGCGTCTACACATCAAGGTGTGGCAACCGGACGACTCTTCCAGTGAGTGCATGATTTGTCACACCGGAATTGGCCGCTTCTCCCGCCATCATTGCCGAAGCTGCGGCCGCTTAGTATGTGATACCTGTAGCATGACAAAAGCTGTGATTCCAGCTTTAGGCTTTAATGTCGCGACAAAAATATGTGACGACTGCGCGCAGCTTGGCCGTCGCCTTGTATCAAATCAATAAAGGGGACTGCAAAGTTATTTTTCCAGTAAATGCACCTACCAACTTGCTCTAGTACATGCCTGGTACCTTTTTTTTTTTTTGTTACTGTATTCGCCCTGCATCCCTGGGTGAGGAACGCCGAACGGCGGGTGCGAGGGATTTACCGAGATGATGACTGTTCCGCTGCGTTGTTGTTTTTTTGCCTTTGACAGGAGCTAACTGAAAAGAAGAGGAACGTGTGACGATATATATCTAGCGACTTCTGTTTGCTGCTCTGAGCGGCGAATTGTGTTGTGCATCGTGTGAAGGAGAGTGAAGGCAACTGACGAGGCGAAAAAGAAACGTGAGAAGAGGTGTCCCACCACATTATTAGTTGATTATTATTGTTATTTCTCCTGACGATGATTGCTTGCGCCACCACCCCCACCATGGATGCCTCCCCTTCCAGTAGCTATAGCGAGAGTCGGGAGCCGCAGCACCGACGCAGGGGACATTGCGGACGCGAGCAGGGGAGACGGTGGCGATTTTGACGCCACACTTTAATGTTCTATTTGCTCACTTTGCTGATGCTTCTCCCCATTGTTTTTATTATTATTATTTTCCCTCCGCTGTGCATTTCCCCTAGTCACACCGAGAGCAGTCGATCATAATAACGTGAGGGGGCAGAGCCAAAGGAAAAATAAACACCGAGACACACCGCCACATAAATAATAAGTAAAAAGAAAAAAAGAATAAAAAACTATGGATACTGTGGCTCTCACCGTCAGCTCACTTGTGCATCAGGCGGAGACCCTGAACCTTCCAGTCATCCGTAGCAAGTCTCTCGCACTCACTATCGCCGCAGGTATCCCCATCGTGGTGCTCCTGCACGACACGTCAGACTGGTGGTTGCCAAAGAACTGGGAAGTCCCTGTCGTCTCTTGGTTTCGCCGCAGGTGGCGTCAGGACCCCGAAAGCAAGGTAGCGCACCTGACACTGGCTCGCAACGCGGTCCTCTTCTTCTTTGTAGCCATGGCACTGAGCGAGACCCCCTACTACCAGACGACAGTGGACTACGTGGCCGACCGTGTCTCAAGCACCACCGCACGCAAGTCCTTTGATGAGCATATTAAGGCGTCCCGACGAACTGCGTTTGGAGCTGCCAGCGACGTAGTGGGAGAAGAAGGGTACAGCGACGCGAGTGTCCGCCAGCAGCGGGACACGGCGCTGCGCCGTCGTTTTGTGCATGACAACCGTAACGGGAACTAGACTGAGGAAGAGTTGGAGGTGGGGAGCGACGGATTCTCGCCTCTGCACAAAGGCTGGAGTAGAAAAAGAAAAAAAAGAGGCACGCAGCATGTGACAGCCGACGATGGGATGAGGTGAGAGGAAGGCAATAGCAGCAACGCTGGTTCTCCCCAAAAGCTACTGTTCCTATCACAGAAGTTTGACGCCGACAAGAATAAAAACATCAAAGGAAAAAAGGAAAGGAAAAGAGAAGCCACACAATTATTACGTCGGAAGCAAACAGAAGAGGAAATATATATATATATGGACATTGAAGCAATAAAACAAACAAAAAAAAACAAAACATGATGAATTAAGTGTACAGCGTGGGGAGGGAACAGGTGAGGGAGAGACGATGCTTGGCATGATGGCAGTGACGGTCGCTGGGTAGCGTTTTTCCCTCTTTTTAAGCCTCTTGTATTTCACTACTGTTGTTTGGGGGGACTGAATTCGTGCGTCCCAGCAGGGCACACTGTGTAGGTGTCTGCTGTGCGATTCTAGGGGGCGGGGAGGGCGAGGCGCACAAGGGTGTGCGGCGACGCAGAATGCCAAGCGGGAGAGGGAGAGAGATGGTTGAGGGACGTGAGGCAGAACATGACCATGCGGTTGTGCTTCTCCCCCTTCTCTCTTTCTTCTTGCCTTCTCTGAAACTATTTTTCTTCTTGGCGATCGGTTCCCGAAGGAATCCTTCTCCCCCCGCCTTCGCAGGCCGGCCTCAAAATGATATTGAATACATCATTGCCATAATTCGGTTTGATTTTTTGTTCGCCCACATTGTCTTTCTAAACGTAGTTTTTTTTCTTCTATTTTTGCACCGGCTCTTTCCGGAACGGGTCCATCTTCTACGCCTTCTTTTTGGTGCTATTTTTATTCCTCTTTTTTTTTTCTTATTGGTTGCCACTATCATCTTGACGCTTCTTTCTTGTTGCCGTTGTAGCATCTGGAGGGGGAACGGGCGCCGCACAAGCAGGCAGTGTGACGGCTGCGGGTGCGAGGGTCCAATAGAGAGAGAGAGAGAGAGCGACAAAGAGAGGGATCGCTGGCTTTGAAGCGGCAAGCGCAGAAGAAGTAAAGGAATACACACACACACACACACACAATTTACTCTTTTTGCCTATCCCGTTACATAGCTACATAGAACACGTATACACATAGATGACGCGCAGTGGCGATGTGAGTGTTTTGCGCGACATGACAACGCATAGAGATTTATACCGCAGCCAACTGAATGATGTGTCGACGATGAGTGGCCCCTTCAAGGCGGCGGCAATGGCATCCTCAACGTCGGCTGTACCTGCACGGCAGACGGCAGGGTCAGTGGCCCCTGAGGACACAGTGTTGCTTGAAATTCTTATTCCTGTGTATATTAAGCTGGAGGATCGTGAGGAGGTGTGTCGCGAGCTGGGCGTCTTTGTTCAGACAGGGCGTGGTGGAGTGAACAGCCTTTCGCGAAAGGTGTGTGTGCGTTTGACGGACCCTACGGACCCGTTCTTTTTATTCGAGCTCGAGCTGCTTGAGGATGACTATGGTTCATTCAAGCAACGCTTGGAGCTTCTTGTGGACTTCAGTGGGTTTCCCAGGTACCTAGTCTCCATGCTGAACGGTATTGTTAACGGAGCCATGCCGTATTCGGTTTGCTTTGTCGTAGACAACCGGGACACGCTGCGCGGGATGCTGCGGGTTCTTGAACGGACGGAATTCCGTACGGTGGAACACATCTCGCTCTTGTTGATGCGCCAGGGCGACGCGGGGCAGAAGCGGTACCTGGCGGAGCGCTTTCAACACTTCGAACGGGCGTACACGCGGGCGGTTGTGGAGCACCGCTCCGCCGCGGCGGCGGCAACTGCGAATATCGAATCATTGAAGAGTGAAGTGGCGACACTGCAGGAAGGCTGTGACTCGTTGCGGGAGGAGCTGAGGCTTGAGGTGGCGAAGTCGGAAAAGAATCAGTTGTCCAGCGTCAGTCAGCTGCGCGAGGAACACGCCAACGAACTTGCGCGACTCCGCAGTTCCATGGAGGCTGAACTCCGTCGTTTAACGGGCAAAGCGGAGGAGGTCCAGGCGCGACTGATGGAGGATGTGCGAACAAAGGACAAGAGTATGCAGGAGGCCAACAAACGTGTGACCTCGCTAGAGTCCTCCATTGTGGCGTTGCAATCGCAGCTGCGCGTGGCTGGAGATAAATGCCACGCCCAGGCGCGGGAGCTGGAGGAGCTTCGTTCCTCTAACCATGAGCTTCAGAACTTTCGCTCAAACGCCACCCGCTCTATCTCTGACAATGAGCTCCATTCCGTTAAGCTGCAAGAGCGCGTGCGTGGTTTGGTGCAGACACTAAAGTCACGGGATGATGAGGTCCAGTCGCTACGGGAGCAGTACCAGAAGCAGGACGGCTACATACGTATCATTACCTCACAAAATGAACAACTAACTGAGCAGAACAAAAAGAACGAGGTGTCACTAAAAAAGGCACATCATATCATTGCAACTCAGTTAAATCACATAAAAGGTGCGAAGGAGCGAGAGCGCATGATGCGTAGTCAATTACGCAGCCAGGAGGCTCTACTACAAGACAAGGTGGACACTGTTACCCGGCTGAGAGACGAGTTAGCATCCTCGGCAGAACGGGGGCGGGTCCTTCAGGACAAAATCACTGAACTGCGCGATCAGCTGGGGAAGACAGATGCAGCGCGGGAGAAACTTGCACAGGAGTTGAAGCAGAGTCAAGATGCCCTTATTCACCTGCAGAGAAGCACCAGTGTAAATGGACGACACTGGTCTGTCTTAGCTACCACTAGCACCAGTAACAATTTCAGCAGTGGACTTGGCATGGGGCTCAGTAACAGCCTTGGGTCGACGGCAAATGACATTTACAGGGAGTTCAATAAGAATGCCGTGACCACCGCGCGAACGGCGGGTTGGTTACCCTCAGACGGAACCAACGATTTGCGTGGGGTGCCCGCAGCGCGTTCTCAGAATGGGGTGCATGGATCTGACAACAATCCGCACGGCGTTGTGGTGGGTGAGCCGAAGTATGTTGGCAAGGCGTCACAAGCTGCGGCGGGCCCCGCAACCAACAACGCCGCAAATGGTTTTGAGGCCGGGGCGGGAATCGCCCCTGGTAGCGGTATGGCAAAACTGTCTACTGCCTCCGAGAGTCACGTCATGAACGGGAAGTACACGCGTCAGCCTTTGGATACGGCGGCAGTCAATGTGGCGTTGAATGCGAGGAGCCAAATGTTTGCCACCAAAAACTTCTTCAACGATGGTTGTGACAAGGCGAACCCCGTAGCCAATGCGGCGTCCTTCGTGGAAAAAATACCGGGAACCATGGCAAAAACGGCGGCCGCTCCAAGCGCTTACTTTTAGTGAGATGTACTCTTACTGCGGCACAGGGGCGCATAGATTTGTATCTCCTCTTTCCAGCCTGGAAAGGCCTTTTTTGTTACTATTATTATTATTTTTTTTTCTCTCTCCCTCTTGCTGTGGCGCGGTTTTATAGAAAGCTACACATCTACGGGTGTCGAATCAAAACGGAAACGATGCATACGGGCCAGAGGGGCTACCCGTGCCATTACCCCATAAGAGTGGGTGCTTGCCACCATGACTCACACACGTCCGGGAAATAGCATATAAAGCGCCATGTGATATTTTCCTATCCTGACTGTGCTTGGCCCTGTGCGTGTGCGTGCATTTCTGTCACTGTTACGTATTTTTATGACTGCTCCTGTTAGTTTGCGTTGGTCGCAGGCGTACAAAGACGAGTGATGTGTGTGCCACTCCGTTTTTCTCGTATTTGCTATACTTTCCCTCCTTTGCTGGCCACTGCCTCTTCTGCGTGTCTCTCACAGCTTTGTGGGTGCGGGAGACGCTTTGTCGCAAGACTCGCTAGCAGAACGAGGCTGAACAAAAAAAAAGACACAAACGACGAGAGGCAAGTGCAGGCTGGCCGGATGAAAAGGGAGGATTACTACAGCCCTGGCAACACCGCCGCTCCATTGCCAAATGGCCGTGAAGGCCGCGACAGGGCGAACACCGACGCGACTCGTTCAGAGCTGCGTTCCCCCCCGTTGCGTCGTGACGCACATGAGCCCTGGCGCAGAGGTTTCGGCGGAGACGCTGACACGCGTTTTTCTGCCGCGCCAACTGGAACTGATAAGAGCGCCATCAGGGATAGCACCGGATTCCGCGTTGAGCGCATAGACAGTGCTTCGTCCCTGGCTGTGGGCGATATCGTTGGGTACGAATTTGTCTCAGAAGACGGAAGGTGGAATTGGTCCATTGGTACAGTTCTGGCATCTCTCAATAACACCGGCAATGCCGTCGGTAACGACGACGACAACGACGCCATGGGCACGGACCCTAACCTTGTCCCCTTGGCGTATTGGAGAATTGCCCTCGACACACAGGGCGTACAACGACAAAGCGATTCTGCGACCAAGGCGGGTCGGTACGAGGATCCGGCACAACATGACGTCCTTCGAAGGCTGCAGGCAATTGAGGAGGAAAAGGCTGCGCTTTCGCGGGAAACGTACGCGATGGATGTCGTGGAAGCCGAAAAGGCAGCTGAGTCAGCTCGGGAAAAGCTAAGGTTGACAGTTCGAGAGCAGCGGAGCGCGCTGCGACAGCTGATAAAGCCTCCCAATGTGTTGCGACTGGCAGTGCAGGCAGTGTTTTCGCTTCTAAGTATTGAATTGTTGGTGGAACGAAGTGAAGAAGAGTGGGAGCAGATGCGGCGCGTATTGTGCTCGGAAGCCTTTGAGGAAAGCCTGTCAGAGCCGGCTACGTCTAGGTTGGATGAGGAGCAAGCCGACATTATCACCCAGCGCTTCTTAACTAACCCGCACTTTACATATGCGTACATGGAGGCAACTAGTCATCTTGCGGCGCTCATGCAAAGGTGGGTGGAAGGCGAAGTTCAGCTCTATGAAGCTCGTGCAATGCTTCAATCCGTTGAGGGGCGTTTGGCCGAGTTGGATGAGGAGGCGAGGCAGAAGAAGCGGGAGTTGCGCTTTTGCCGTAACCCCAGCAACTTTACAAGGACAAGTAGTGACCAGGACGATGAGGAGAATGTACGCTATGCGTTGCAGTCCTTTCAGGACCTTGGCGAAGTCTCGTTTGTGCGCAGTGATGAGGCGGCAGTAGTTGTCCGTTCGTCTGTGTTCTGCAGGTTTGTTGCGCCCACGTCGGCTTCCATGTCAGCACTCAACAGCATGACGATTCAACGAGATCGGCTTGCCCGCATCCGCTCCGCTGCGTCGGGAAAGCAGCGGCGTGTGAGGTTTGGATCGCCTGTTAGTGATGCCGGCTCTACTGACCAAAAGCTTCGTGAGTCGCGTGAGGCGGCGCATGCGAAAAAAGTCTTGTGCGATCAGTCAATGGAACGGGAACGCATCGCAATACGTGAGTTGGAGGCCATCTACGAGAAGCATGTTTGGTACACCACTGCATTGCACAATATACTCCGTCGGGCTATCGCCGCTGGTGCCGGCGCTTCCCTCCGCGGCAAGGGCGATGCCGTGCAGCTTGCAGCCGCGCAAATGCGAGTACGAGAGTTAGAGGAGGCTCTTCGCGACAAGGAGCGCGCCCTCCGCACTATGCAAACTAACCACGATGAAGAATTACATTGGATGCGAGAAAAAATGCGGAGAGAGGCACGGGAAGAGTCGGGACCCATCCCTGACGACGCCTCCATGATGGAATTGCAACAATTTCGCCTACACCATGACGAAGAGGTTGGTCGGATGCGAGTGGCTGCGAACGAGGCGCGGAAATGGTCAATTATTCTTCTACTTGAACTGCGGAAGTCCAAGGATGCCGCAATTGCGGACATGCAGCAGGAGTACCTACGAGAGCTGAATTTGGTGCGTGACGAGCTTTCAATGCATGAGGGGCGTCAAATGAAAACAGTGACGATTCTTGAGGACGCGCTTGCGCACAACAGCGAGGAGGAGGAGGAACACCAACGGCAAAGAAGGCAGCGGCGTGCGCTGAAGCGTGCGCTGAAGACGCTTTCTGGTTCGCGGTCCCCTGAGCTGTCGAGGGCGTCACCCTCGCGACGCTCCCCAAGAAATCTGGCTTCGCCGCACGAGACGACGCTCCGTCGTCTTCCTCTTCGCACTGGCACTCCGGTACGGCGACTCTCCACTTCAGAAGTTTCTGGGGCTTCGAGAGAGTTGCCTGAAGACAATGTTGTTATTTTGCGAGATCGCCTTGTAGAGGAAATGCGTGATCGCGAGTTGATTCAAGAGATGCTTCTGCAGGAGCAGCGAAAGATTCAGTTGTTGGAGGAGGAAAATGCCGGGCTGAAATCGGACCTGAAGCAGGAAGTGGAGAGACATGCGACACTCAAGGAGAGGTATCGGGAACTACAAGACGAAATTTCGGCACGGTCGGGGACTGCGCGTTCCGGTTCCAAAGGATCTAGGAGAAGTGGCTCCGGGAGCGGCGATCGTGATGCCCGTGAGCAGATCGCGGAACTGCAGAGCATCATTGCCGCGTACGATCGGCAGTTGGAGGAATTGTTGGAGGCTGAGGGGTTAAAAAAGGAAGGGACTCCCTTCCAGGCCTTGCGGGACTACCTCGCAAGACTGAAGGCCTCCTGTGCTGCCATGCAGGAGGAGCGTGATGCACAGTCTGCTGACGCGAAAATGTTGGAGTCATGTCTGAAGACGGCCGCAGATGCCTTGGAGGATGCGCTCATGCACGATGAACGGTGGTGCCTCCGCACCACCGATTCCCAATACACCACGTGGCACTGGAAGAAGTTTAAGGGTGACGATTGGGGTCGCGTCATTGCTGACACTCCTGAAGCTCTGGCAAAGGCACTCGCACGCGGCGTCGCTGCCGCCTGCCACGTACCAGAGGACTACGTTTTGAACCTCAACTACCACGATGAAGGCACGAGCCTTTACGCCTCGTTTGACCTTCGTCATGACCCAACGATGCCCTCTGAAGATATTGCGTCTCGTTTAGAGGAGTGTAACTACTACGAGTTGGAAAGGTTGTACGCTCGCCGGTTTTCCCCGGAGGAAGGGGTTGACTCCTTAAGGCGGAAACTGCGCGAGAAGGAAGAGGAGTTGCAGGACTTGCGCACCAACATGGCACGTCTACGACGTGAGGCTAAGCACTCAGGTGGCGGGAGATCAAAACCGTATTTGTTGGAGGCGTAAAACCAGTGGAACTTGCTACCCCCGGCACTGCGAGACGGAATATAAAAAAAAAAAAGAAAGAGAACGAAAGAGAAAAATAAAAGACAAATGTATGGATTCCTTTTTCTCACGGTGATGCTACACATTTCTTAAGTTTGTGTTGTACTACACTGCATGTACAGATTGGATTATGCGACGAAAGAAAAAAATGCAAAGACGAAAAAAGTAGCATGTAAAATAAAATGAGAGGGGGGGGGGGGAATTGAGCTGAAGGGGTGGAACAACTTGTATACGTCTTTTGTAGTCCCACTCTTTGTACTCAAGGTAGGCCTTTGACTTCAATTGATTGCTGCAAAGGAGAGAAGCGAAGATGAAGAAGTTTCTTGGTGTATATTTTGCATTTATGTTGACTCGTGCTCCATTGCGTTGTGGAGCTGTTTTGCTTTACCTTTTCCTGTTCCTCCTGTAATGAGCTCGGCGATGACGTCTGTGATTTGTCGTAGTTTATGTATATATTGAAGACGTGATGATTGATAATTTGCCTGTATAGGTACTCTTAGTTGGTTCCATATGCGTGTGTATGTATACTTGCTCTTCACATGCGCAATAGGTACAATCTACCATTAATGCTTCTTCGTGGTGTTGATTACGTCTCTGTAGGCCTCATTTGACTGCGTGTGTGGTTCACCGTCGTCAACCTTTTTTTTGTTGCTTGTTTAAGCCCCGCGTCTGTAGTGCGTAACCGCGGTTTTGAAATAACTTTCTGTCACTGAGTGCGTGTGGGCGTGTCTGCGGTGAGTGGGGATGTGGGGGTTTGCCGCGTGTCTGGCTCTATGCATTTGGTGCCAACCTCACAAGGCGTTCTGTGAGGGCGACGGTGTTTGTTGCCTCCGTGACGGCTCGCCAGCTCACAAGTGCCGCGTCCCACACTTCCTCCAGGGCTGCTCGTGTTTTTTTTTTTTGGGGGGGGGAGGGAGGGGTCCGTGCAGAAGCGCAGTCTGATTGCCTCCCTACCCTTTTTTTTCCCCCTGTTATTTTACTTTTCGTTCTGTGACGTATGTGCGTGCCTTTCGAAGCGCCTCGGTGGTGGTGATTTTGTACGGACGCCACGCTCTGTGCGAATGGCGGGGGGAGCTGCGATGAAGGGATGGGAAGGCTGCAGTGGCACGGCTGAAACGAGGGATTATCGTTCACGGCGCGAGGCTCGCTGCATTCGCCGCGTGATCCGACTGGTGTTGCCGTTGACAGTTTCCCAACAATCCCAACCGCCAGGAGCTGCTTGTCGTTGTTGTACCTTTTTATTTCATTGCGTTGCCTAAAGGGAGCTATTCCTCCCGTAGCTCCGCATGTACGTGTTCGTTGCGGATGTGCGTTGGCGCCAAACACCTGCAAGGCTATTGGACGTACTCTTTCCTCTTGAGGCTCGAGGGAGAAGTGTTTTGGCAACCATAGCGTCACCTGTTTTTTTATGTTTACTTCTCGTAGTTTTTGCGGTTGTTATGGCTGTTGTTTTCGTTGTTGTTGTTGTCGTTACTCTTCCCCCTATCGCCTGTCCCGCAGGCAGGGAGCCGCGAGGCGGGAATTCCTCATATGCATAGGCCTACTGGGAGCCTCTTCTCTCCACCCCCTTTTCCTGCAGAGAAGATCGTGTAGGATTTACTTTTTTTTTTTTTTTTTTTTGGGGGGGGGGGGGTAGCTTCTGCATTGGGTTGTTGCAGCCGTCGCACGCGCGTTCCCATGCCTGGTCTTGCTGTTGTGTTGACTTTTGCTTTTTTTTCCCCCCCTCTGGTGGCACGTGGCAAAGTGAGGTAACATCTATTTGAGAGTGCGAGGTATTGTCACTTCTCTCGCCTGGGTAGTAGAACAGCAATGAGGCGCCTTGTTCTTCTCAGCCGAAGCTTGCGTACTGGCGCAACTGCTGCCGCCGTTGTGGGCTCTTTTGCCGCCCCCTTTCGCGGGCAGGCCACGTACGCTCAAGGCGTAGAGGAGTCGACGTCCGCATCCTCATCAGGTGGGGACACGCCTCGCGAGAAGGCGCAGGCGAAGGAAAAGGGGGAGAACCAGAAGGAAGAGGCGCAGGCAAAAACGGATGCTCTTGGGACTCCCAGTGCAACAGGCAAGCGTCGCAACATTGTGGTATTGAGCAACACCACCAAGGCCGTGTATATTCACCCGGCGAACCACATCGCCTCTTGGTATTGGTTTATCACGGATTTCCACAAATGGTTTGTTGGTATCGTCTTTCTTTTTGTCGGGTCACAGCTGTTAGCTCGTTATCGATTGTCCAAGCTGAAGACGGTGGTTCAGGCGCAGCTGGGAGAAAACCTCCTTGACCAACGTACGCGAGACCTTTTGAGTGACATTGAAGTGCTGCGGCGCAAGGATCCTCTTCGGCTAGAGCAGGAGGCCAATGTGTTCCACGAGCAGTTTTGGAAGCGGCGCGCCATTGCGGTGTCGGAGTCCAGGAACGAGGTTCGCCGAGTGGAGTTGCAGCGGGGTATGCTTCAAGGTCAGGCTAGAGGAACCGACATGACGGAGTGGCTGGGGGCCAAAGCGAAGGACGATGAGGAGCGCGAAGTGGCGCGACGGACACAAGACTACATTCAGGGCTTCCATCAGCACCTCAAGTCGAAGCGTCTCATCTGAAACCCTCTCTGTGCGTGTGACAAAAAAAAAGAACAACAATAAAATTTTGTGTTCTTCGCGGAACCACGTCACCTCCCTTTTTTTTCTTTTTGTTCTCTCTCTCTCTCTCTATCTCATCAGCAGGCCCATTTCTGTGGTGGTGTCGTTAGATGAAGAGCAATGAGTTGGATACTATTGAGACCCGTTTTTTTTGTTTGTTGTTCTTTGGCTTTCATTGTATCTCTCTCTCCCTCTCTCTCCGTGTCTCGGTGCGTGGTTCATCTCTATGGGCGTTCATTCGATGTACGTCGATAGCTCTTGATGGTGTACTCCGCAGCATTATTATTATTACTACTATTATTGCCTTTTAAAAACTTTTTTCCCATTTTTCTTTTCCTCTTGTGCACCTCTGCTTACGTGTGTTTCGCAGCAATAGCCCACGATGGTGAAGCCGCTCGAGGCGGCGAGGATGCTGGTCACCACGGGCGGCCTCATCGCCGGCACGATTGCCTTGGCGGTGTTTTTGTTCACCAGCTGGGGCAGCGCGGTGTCCGCCCTCTTGGCGCCCCCCTTGTCGGGTCCGCTGGCGCTGTTCTCGTCTTCGGAGCTTTTCTCGGAGGCGGTGCTGCTTCTGTCGTGCCTGGAGACGATCAAATATATGACGCTGGCGAACTACATGTGTTTTGCGCTCCTCCTCATGCTTATCCTCCTGCTTAGTGTCGTGGAGGAGGCGATGCTCGTTGTGAAGGAGTCACTCGAGGCGAAGGCAAAACTCCCGTCGACGGAGCTTCTGCGGCAAATGAACGGCAGCTACGAACGCGCCCTCGCCATTAGTGGCAGCGCTTACAAAATGAAGCAGCTGCTTGTTGGAGCGAAACACCGAGGACAGGTGTGATGCAAGTGAACCGCCTGCACCACCCCCTTCTCCGAGGAGGCGTCTGTGTGTGTGGGTGTGGAAATAGGCAGCTCAAAGAGTGGCGCGGGTGTGACCCGTAATGCTCGCAGGGTTCCTTGCATCACAAAACAAAAAAAAGAAAAAGAAATGAAGGGTGTGTCAACATGGGGCAAATATGTAAATGAGTTTCTCCTGCTGTGTTCAGGTTTTTCTTTGTTGTTGCTTCTACCCCTGGTCGCTCGCACTTTGATGCACGCGTGCACATGCGTTGCGAATAACAAATAAATACATAAATATTGCAACATTAGGGATTAGGGGCAAGAGAGTCCTGCGGAGGCTAAGCGGGAAGCAGACAAAGAAGGAAAAAAAGGATCGCAGCGATGCAGCGGCTTGCAAGAAAAGGGATCCTTCGTCCCACAGCACTACTGCGACGGCGCTTTGTGCCTCCATGGGAGCGCGACGGCAAGTCTGCGGAGGAGTTTTTTTCAGGCCTCATGCAAAGCGCGAACCCGATGCTCACGCGTCAGAAGCACAAGGAACGCCGTGAGGAAGCAGAGCGCAGATCCGTTGAGGAGGCGCCATCTCCGGCGGAACTTCGGCGCATCGAGGCAGTTCACGCCCACAATGAGTCCGTTTTGAAGCAACAGCGGAACTTTCTGCCTTACGGAGCGAAACCCATTGTTTACTTTGAACGCAATCAAATGGCTGCGCTTGGCGAGTACGAAATGGCGTTGCAGTCGTCGAGTGTCGCGGCGGGTGCTACAGGTTACTCTCCAGCGGTGCAGGGAATGTTGCTAGCGGATTTGCATCAGAAGTTGCCGTACCGGTATGAGTCGTATGTTGAGCCTCGTGGTCGCCAAGCGCAGTGGCCATTGCATGGTACGGCTGGAGTCGTTCTCGACATTGACGGTGTTGTTTACCGCTCACACAAACTCATTGAGGGCTCAGACACTGCAGTTCGTAAGATGATGGAGTTGCGTATTCCATTGCTTTTCATGTCAAACGGTGGTGGTAAGTCCGAAGAGGAAAAGGCAAAGGAATTGTCACAGCTCGTCGGATGCGAGATTGATCCGTTACAGATTATTTTTGCCCAAACCCCGATGCAGTTGCTCGCGCCCCTGTACAAGGATCAAAACGTGCTGATCGTTGGCTGCCCGCGCTGCGCCGAGGTGGCAAAGATGTACGGCTTTAATCGCGCCATCTCTGTTCTTCAATTTCAGGCGGAACATCCGGAGTTGCTGCCGTACAAAAAGTGGGGCGAACTACAGAAGTGTGAGGCCGGTACGGTTCCATTTCCGGAAATAGCGGCTATCTTCGAGTTTAATGACCCAGATGACGTCTTTAGTGATGCGCAGTCCATACTGGATGTTCTCTTGTCTCCACGGGGGCAGGTCGGCCGGTATGTGTCGAGCACACAGACTATTCCCTTTTTTCTTTCATCAGACGACTTGCTCTGGGCGACCGAGGCCCCACTTCCACGCCTCGGTCAGGGTGCCTTCCGTGAAATGTTGTCTGCTGTCTTTGAGAGTGTGACGGGACATGGACTACAAGTGACAACGTTTGGAAAACCGCGCGCCATTGCCTACGCTTTCGCGGAGCGTCGCATGGAAGAAGTGTCCGCGCGATTGGGGTGGGACCCGAAGGTCCTCCGCGCCATCTTCATGGTGGGCGATAACATTGATACGGATATTGTTGGTGCCAATGCCCGGGGTGGCCGCTGGACGTCGGTTCATGTCCTTTCCGGCATCGGCGTTGCCCCCGTCGCACGGCGCACCCTCGCAGAGGGCGACGTGGAGCTCGAGTGGTTAGAGGCGAATGTCGCCAAAACGCCCCACTACGTCGCACCCACGCTGGATCACTTCTTTCGGGAACTCTTGGCGTTTCCAGAGTCGGCCATGCTGCAGAACAAGAAGCCCTACTATGGAATGCCGAATCCTGTAGACCTCCTTGAGACATACAACTTCCCAACAAGTAACTAATAAAAGGGGTTGTCTCCCTCGTCGTTGTTGTTGTTGTTAACTAAATTTTCATCGGCGCATTTAATGCACGTGAATGTGTGTGTGTGTGTGCTTTTCATTTTTAATGGACGTGTATAATGCGTCCGTTGAGTGGAGGAGTTCTCTCTCCCTCCCTCTCCTTTTTTTTTCTTTTTCTTTTTGCGTGCGGGGGCACGTACGCGCGAATGGGAGAGGGCTCATCGCGGCAGGCCGTTTTATATGCTTTCTTTTTTTTCGTGTGTCTTTTCCTTGTATGCGTGTGTATTTGTCTGCTGCTTATGGAAGGAGTTTTGTTTTTGTTTGCTATCACCTCGTTGTTGTAGCAGCAGCTTCCCCCGTGGGAGCTTCGTTTCTTTCTTCTTGGCCTTCCTAAGCCGGAAGGAACAATCGGCTTGGAGTGCGCGCTGTCCTTCTCCCCCTTGTTATTTAACTCGCTTGTGCCTGGCGTTGTGCGGGGCCGATGCACAGACAGGCACGTGCATTTTTAGGTGATGGACGCTCAGAGTGCAGGGGAGGCGCTGCTTAAAAACCCGCAGTTCATGGAGCTCTTCCAGCGAGCTCTGGGCGGGGAGAAAAACCTCCGGGACATGCCGCCGGAGGGCGATCCGCGCCGTGAGAAGTGGCTGCGCGACATCCAGGCGAAGCTGCAGGAGGAGAGCCGAACTGCCATGAAGGACAAACTCGAGCAAATCCAAAGCGACGAGAACGGGCAGTGGATGTACGTCCTTCCAGAGCCGGGCTTCTGCGTCAAGTGCACCACGGCCGGGGGCGGCAAGATTTTCCTGAACGTGTGCCAGCACGAGCGCATCGCCGAACCCATTCCAATTGAGGAGGACGAAAATGCGGAGGAGATGAAGTTTAAAATTCCGCTGAGTTGCGGCCAGGCGCGGCCGAGCACCGACAAGAGCGGAAAATCATGCAAAGTGTACGACGTCATTGTGAATCCCTCGACGGTGCAACGCTGCTCAAAGGACCATGAATTCCGCTGCTTTGTCGTCTCGCTCTGTATCCACTGGATCAAGCAGAAGTGCGAACCCACGCTGAATGCGGAGGAGTACAGAAACATGAACTTCAAGGCAAAGGGCGTTTTAGAACCACAACGGATCCGTTTATCTGCTGTACCCAAAGCAGCGAATGCCATGGGGGATGAAATTCGTCTTCCCCAAAACAGTGGTGCGGCGCTGCCCCCAACCAACGTGGGAGGCCGCGGTGGCACAGGAAGCCTTATACAGGAGCTGACGAACGCACCGTCAAATACCGCCAGTGCCTCAGAGTCTGTGCCTCCGCCGCAGTTTGTGGCTACGAAGACAACGACAACGACCACGGCGTCTGCAACGACTCCAGAGGAGGAGGCAACAATCCCTTCGCTTGTAAAGTTGGAGACTGAGGGGGTCTACGATTGGTCAAGGCACGCGAAACCAATGCTTAACCCTTACCTGCGGGAAAATGTTCCCGCCGCGTATGTGGTTGAGGTCGCTATCCCGACAGTGGCCTCCATCGCCGAGGTGGAGGTTCGAGTCACGGCCCGGTCGGTCGAGCTGATTTACGTGGACGCGGAGGATGGCGCGCCGTTTTTGATCATCCCGCTGGAGTTTCCCATAGACGAAGATGCACCCAACGCCAAGTTTGTTCGAAAGACGCACATGCTTAAAATGCGTCTTGCAGTGAAAATTCCGGACGAGACGAGCGAGCTCGCCACGAAGGCGGAGCGTGACGCAGACGAAGTTGAGGAGGAAGAAAGGCGTCTGGCACGTGAGGCACGCGAAAAGGAGCTCCTAGAGCACAAAAAACGCGTCGAACGGATGCGGGAGGAGGATGAACATGTTATGAAGGAGCGGAAAAGTTATGTGGAAAATTTGGCGGCTGTGCAGGAGGGAACGATGCCTCCTAGCCTTAAAGAGGAGGTGGAAAAGCTTCCGCCGGAGCAGCTCCGTGTTATGCTGCAGCGGTTAGAAACCAAAACCCGCAAGGGGGATTCCGTTGATGAGATGCTGGAAAAATTTCCTCCGTCCATGGTAGATGCCATCTGCCGTCACATTCGTGATAAGTTGGGGCTCGAGCAGAGGCCGCCGCCAGGTGACCCAAACAAACCGACACCAACGGTGGATTCTGGCACAGCTGCCCCGGCGGCGGCAGTGGAGGGGGAAGCAAAGGGTGTAACTCAAGAGGGGGAAGCGGAAGAAGGACGTGTTGAGTACAACTTTGCAAAGAAGTCAGAGAAGCTGCTCGGCGTAGCGTTTCACAACCGGTACCTCTTTGCTTTGGACTGACACGGGAGGTGATTGCAGAAAAGAAGCATAATCAATGGCAGCTGGTGCCCCGCTCGCTGAAGGGATGATGCCTGGGGGAGATGGCAACCCTTTCGCTGTTCCCCCAGCCCTCAACGGGGTGCAGGCAGTTTGTTACCGTTTTCCCTCAACGCCGCGCTTCACTTGTCTCTTTTTGTGCCTTCTTGAAACCCCCCCCCCCCC